GAGAGAGAGAGAGAGAGAGAGAGAGAGAGAGAGAGAGAGAGGGTAGGAGAGAGTTTATTCAGTAGACACAGACAGAGGGAGAAATAGAGAAATGTAAAAATCTATTTAATAAAGGACCCCCCAAAAAAATGATGGACAGAAAGTGAGACTTAAAAGAGAACCAAGAGGTCGAAAAGAACAAAAGTAAGAGAAGATAATACCATAATGCCGACACAGAAATTACGAAAGGATGAAGGAAGCAGAGACGATTGAATTTATTTTTGAGAGAGAATTATTGCTCAAGTGAAAAGAATTGATGAAAGGACAGAGAGATTGAAGGAAAGCGGGAGATGGAAATAAAGGGCCATTAGAAAAAGCATTAGACAGAGGCAACAAACTTCCCTGATAAAAAAGAAATAATATTATGAGGACATTGAGGCAGAATGGATGTGAACCAAATATATTAGTGTGTGTGTGTCTTTGTGTGTGTGTGTGTGTGTGTGTGTGTGTGTGTGTGTGTGTGTGTGTGTGTGTTTGTGCACACGAGTGTATATTTGTGTTTGTTTCTTTGTTTGTTCATGTATGCAAGTTTGTATGCGTGTATTTAAGTAAATTCTAAATGTTCTCTCGTGAACTCGTGTCCAAATCGCGAGTGATTTTGCGCATTTTACTCTTCATTGATGAGACATGTATAAACGACATTTATATGCATTGAAACACACACAACACACACACACACACACACACACACACACACACACACACAAACACACACACACACACACACACATTCAAACATACACTTTTGCATTGGAACTCAAGCAATATCCCCTACCTGTGCATATATAAACACAAACACGTGCACACACTTCAGTACACAACCAAGAGCACCTTCTAAAAAAATTCGTAAATTTTATAACATTAGGGAAGACACAAAAGGGACATCGTAGAAGAAGAAGAAGAAGAAGAAGAAGAAGAAGAAGAAGAAGAAGAAGAAGAATAAGAAGAAGAAGAAGAAGAAGAAGAAGAAGAAAAAGCTGTGGGTACCTACTCTGACAAGTTGACGTGGAAGAAGAAGCAAAAGCTGTGGGTACCTACTCTGACAAGTTGACGGGGAAGAAGAAGCAAAAGCTGTGGGTACATACTCTGACAAGTTGACGGGGAAGAACCAAACACTCTGGATACATACTCTGACAAGTTGACGGGGAAGAATCCGTGGAACATGGAAGTGTTTGCCGCCAGCTGATTCACCGCCCTGCCCTCCCCGCCATCCACGTTCTTGTAGGGGCACGTGTTACACATGGTGACGGTGGGGAAGTCCGTGGTGGCCTTGACCGAGATGTCTGTGCGCGTGACGGTGTTGTACTGGTAGTACTCGATGAGTAGGTTAGCCACGGTGTACACCAGCCCGCCGGCCATTCCCAGCACCACCAGCAGCCAGAAGATTCTGGGAAATACACACAGTATATTAATATCGTTACACGACACGATGGAATCAGGCGCTCGTCAATTTTGGGACATAATTTGGAGTTATTGATATTGTTTATAATCCAAAGACAGGATGGAATCAGGCACTTGTAAATTTTGAGACATAATTAAAGTTTGGAGTTATTGATATTGTTTATAATCCAACGACAGGATGGAGTCAGGTGACTGTCAGTTTTGGGACATACGTAGTTATGGTAATCACAGAGTTTGCAAATTCGTCTGTGGTGTAGTGGTTAAGCACTTTGCCGTCGCACGCAGGAGACCCGAGTGTAATTCCTGGTTAGGGATGAGTAATGAAATTACTAGTGAGTATCTCCGTCTTTCTGCTGGGAAGATGTAATCCTCTCAGTCCGGGTTGTCCCTGACAGGCATGATCTAAAATGTGTCGCTAAATTATCGAAATTATGTTGATGGGAACGTAAACACATCTAGGCCTACCGGTAATAAAACTTTCATTTATGCGTTTTTTCTACAGCATGTTGGCTTGATTTTGATGAAAAGAAATACCGATCAGTCTTAAATAGAAGTTAAAATTTTTGTGATTGACAGATTCTTTTCCGCACCGCCGGCAGGAATGAAAAAAAAAGTTATTGTAGATGTTTTACGCCCTCATCGACGCAACTTAAATATTTGGGAAGCTCCAACTCTGCCAAATCTACGCTGAGAGGGATACAACAACCCAGCAAACAGACAGACAGAGATACTCGGTAAAAGAAATCTTCCGACGCGGGAATGCAACTCAAGTGTTCTGCGTGCCACGTCGACGTGCTAACCGCTACACCACAGTCGCCGGTGCAGGGAGAAAGACAACAGACGTCACAAAGACAGCACGGCTCACTGAGCTAGATGTTACTCAGTAAATGATGCGCTATACAAATTCTATGGATTATTATAAAAAAGCACAAAGATGAAAAAAGTTCTTGGTCTGGGCTAGACTTAACGAGCAGTTTC